TCACATAGATGATTAATGGAAACCAATTCTTATATTTTATTCTTCTTAATGCCTTCGCCTGTCAGCGTGACACATTTTGGGAACTAATGTAATTTTTATAGTATTTAGTACAGGAGACTTGGTTAAGTCAATAGACTTAGTCTAGGCTATAACATTAAAGTGAATTTTATTAAAATATAATGTACTTCTTTTACTCTAGTTAGATATTGTTTGTACAAATATTGTAAAACTAAATGTTAACTATATTTAGAACTGTAAATATTAGTATTTTTAGACCGGAGATTATAATTTCTTTATAGTGGTCTTCTTAGCTAATATAATACGTATATCCAAATAATAAAGATAGACCTTAATAACCTTAACAATCTTATTAATAACATTAATAACCTTTTTTTCAGAAAAAAACCCTATAATGGTAAAAAAGTGATACTATTTGATATTTTTTTGTAATTACGTGAACACGAACAGGTCTGAGGGAAAAGCAGAGAATATGCAGGATTATTATTGCAGAGCAGATTTAGCAGAGAAATTACCTCACCTCTTACTATCTCTTACATTGATATTTAAGACTACGATTAGAACCTCTAGTTACTATCAGGTAGTAAAGTGAGTTCATGTAGGGTTAAAATCACAGATCATGTTAAATGTAGGAGTCTTGTTAATTTAACATTTACCCTACAAATAATAAATTTACTGTAGTAGCTTGAATAAATATAACCATGTTGTGTGTTAGCATCAGCAACCCAGAAGCATATTGCTCTGTTATGACGGTCAATATACGCCCAAGCTATTACATGACCAATGTTATAATTACAACAGTCTCAAACCCAATGTAGATGATAAATTATACCGGAAATCGTGGGTTCGTATGCGTAGAATATATGGAATGGTATAAGAATAGGATTGTTTAACTTTTTTTTTTTAAAGCGCTTTGTAAAAAAAAGTTAGTATACACTTTTTCACCCGGTTATGAAGACATAACTTTGTTTCGTCGAATTAGGTGTTTCTTGAATTTTAACTTGAAGGAATAATCTTTCAAGATTGTTGATAACAAAATAGAACATCATATACATACAACATATACAACATATACAACATATACAAACAACATATACATCGCAAACATACCAAACATTGACAAAACATTTGTATACTTTCTGTCATTGAAATCAGCCATGCAACCAAGTCATATGATAAGTTAAACATGAATACAATTAATTATTCTATTAGCCTAATTTACAACTACTGTAAGTAGTTAGGGTCAGCACTTTGGGTCTAACATGGGCTCTTATGGTGAATAGATTTACAGCTACCTAACGTAAATAAACTGCTATTTTATCCCTATGTAAACGTTTATTGAATAATTGTATACTGACACTGTATTACATATGTACTGTTTAATATGTGTAGTATAAGCTATAATCTAATTTCTAATGTTTATGTCTTTTAACTAATGTATACAATATCTATACAACATTTATACAGGGAGTAGGCTACCCAGCTCTTGCGGCCACCAATCAGAGAGCAGCATTTCATCCCCACCCCTCCCCCTAGGCTATGCCCTCTGGTGTCCCACGTGGTCTAACCTCACTTTTACCCACGTGGTCTAACCATACTTTTACCCACGTGGTCTAACCACACTTTACCCACGTGGTCTAACCATACTTTTACCCACGTGGTCTAACCACACTTTTACCCACGTGTTCTAACCTTACTTTTATTTTCGCGCCTAACAACATAACCTCACCTTCCCGCCAACTCCTGTCAAGTGAAACCTATGTGGACATTTCATGGATGTTATGTATTTTTGGTATGATGGTTAATCTGAATAATGTTATTCTCTAGTAACTGGCTGTGTATGAGTCTTTGATACCAGAGGTTTGCGGTTTTGAGTCCTACCAGTCACTAAACGTCTCATTTCCGGTTATGGTGATATGTTGATTTTCAGTGTTGTATTGTAGTCTCCTGTCTGTGTATGAGTCTTTGATACCAGAGGTTTGCGGTTTTGAGTCCTACCAGTCACTAAACGTCTCATTTCCGGTTATGGTGATATGTTGATTTTCGGTGTTGTATTGTATTTAACTGTTTGTATATGAATCTTTGGTTCCAGAGGTTTGCGGGTTCGAATCCTGCCAGTCACCAAATGTTTATTCCTGGTAGGGTTGATATGTTGATTTTTTGTGTTGTATTGTAGTCTCTGTCTGTGTATGAGCTTTTGATTGCAGAGTTTGCGGGTTGGAATCCTACCAGTCACTAAATGTTTCATTTCCGGTTGGGGTGATATGTTGATTTCTGGTGTTGTATCCTACCAGTCACTAAACGTTTCATTTCCGGTTGTGGTGATGTATTGATTTTTGGTGTTGTATAGTAGTTAACTGTTTGTATTTGAACCTTTGGTCCCAGAGGTTTGCGGGTTCAAATCCTACCAATCACTAAACGTTTCATTTCCGGTTGGGGTATGTTGATTTTTGTGTTGTATTGTAGTTAACTGTTTGTATATGAACCTTTGGTCCCAGAGGTTTGCAGGTTCGAATCCTACCAGTCACTAAACGTTTCATTTCCGGTTGGGGTGATATGTTGATTTTTGGTGTTGTATTGTAGTTAACTGTTTGTATATGAACCTTTGGTCCCAGAGGTTTGAGGGTTCGAATCCTACCAGTCACCAAATGTCAATTTCCGGTTGGGGTGATATGTTGATTTTCAGTGTTGTATTGTAGTCTCCTGTCTGTGTATGAACTTTTGATCCCAGAGGTTTGCGGGTTCAAATCCTACCAGTCACTAAATGTTTCATTTCCGGTCGGGGTGATATGTTGATTTTTGGTATGATGTTGTATTGTAGCTGGAGTAGTGTGAACCTTTGATCTCAGAGGTTGAGGGTTTGAGCCCTACCAGCCACTGATTGTTTCATTCTTAGTCACAATGAGTTTTAGTATGGTATAGAGAGTTTAGTGGTTTAGTCTAGGGTTTAAACTCTACTAGTATCTAATTGTTTCATAATTGGTATATCTTATGGTTGTGTAACATGTATCTGCTAATTTAATCAGCTGTGACTTCTTATGCCAAGATTGTATCTGTAACATAACCTCACTTTCTGTATTATACCAAGTCTATTCATTCATATTTGTGATACTGGAACGCTAGTGTCGATGAAATTGGCCCAGTGCTATTTAATTTAATAATATATTGACTAACAAAGCATCTACAGAATATCTGATAAAGCTTGTTCTATATTAATGATAACCTTACTTAAATGATTTATTTAAAGGTAATCATCACAGACTTATCTGTATCACTGTAACATGTAATTTAAAAAATATTACCTTGAGAATAACGAACCGGCACTGAAGATTTACTACAAAAGATTACACCAACATATTAAAAAATGAGCACTGTACTTTTCACTATTACTTGTACTGTATTTTAATACACCCAACTAATATACCATCACTTTTGTAGAGTGTTGTAAATCTGATATGTGAATGACTTCATCTTTCTGGCATAACATTCGTTGACTTTTTTATATCCATGCACTACCTCAATTCAGAGGTTGTGGGTTTGAATCCTATCAGTCACCGATCTGTTTGGGTTAATACTTTGAGTTTTATTGAATAGGAGTAGCATGAACTCTGATCCCCAAAGGTTATAGATTCGTATCTTACTAGTACCCATCTTCATATCTGGTATTTCTTGTGTAATATGTTTCTGCTAAATTAATCAGCCGTGACATAGCCTTAACTTTGAACCTCAGTTATTGAAAAGTTGAATAACAAGAAACAAATCGGGTAATTTACCAAGTTTATGGTAATGAATGTGACCTGATTTAAATTAATTACCTGTATCTTTGTAACTTGAAATTGGTACAGCATTACATGTGTACTGTACTGTATTACACTTGTAATATATTGTATTACACTTGTATTGCATTGTATTACATCTGTACTGCACTGAACCCACTGATTACTTGTACTGCATTGTATTACACTTAATAATTGTACTGTTCTAATACATAATAACTTTTATAGAGTTGTACATATGACAACTAATACTGATATGTGTTGACCTTTTCACCATTGACTGTGGTTTCTGGTGTAACTTCTTGTTGATATTTTCATGGATCAACATACACATTTATGCACTACCTCAGCTGTTTACTGTATAACTTGTTGCTACCGACATTAAAACCTGTTATAATCCTTGTGTGTTAACAGTTTTCTGTTTAGCTAACCACATAGTAATAATATCAATGGCTGTGTTAAGTGTTTAAATTTACTGTCTATGTCTTTTTGTTGTTGTAACTGTAAACATACCCTTTTACCTATCTGATGACTGTTGCCTGTGCATTATCGTCTAACATCTTTCTTTATATCTGTCATATCCTAACAGTGGAGAGCCTAGAATGTATGTTGACTTAAGTTACTGAACCTAACGCACAGATAATAGCTCTTTGTTTAGATGTACCAGCTTAAAACTTCTAATGTATCCTTTTTTACACTGATGTTAAATTTGCATCATCTCTGGTTAATAGTGTATACATTAATTTAGTCCTTACTGTATAGTGCTAATGATATTTTTCAATAGATATAGTCCTGATTACCTTTTGTCAAGGTCTATGCTTAAATGTCTAGATGATTTCTGAATGATATGGTCAACTAGTTACACTTTACAAAAGAATTAGAGTACAGATGGGAATTGGTTAATATGGCTGCTTAAATCCACTGTAAAAGTTACATACCTACCAGGGATTATAGAGGAACAATTTGATTGTACTGTTTATTTTAGTGAATGTATTTTTTATTATGTATTTGAAATTAGTTTTAGAGCAATGAAAACTAATAATTTTACTGACTCGTAAACATAGAACACCTATTATAAGGATAAATAAAGAACAGAAGATATAAAAAAAACAATAGTTGTGTATTCAATTTCTAAATATGTAATTAAACATACTATACCTGGAGTAGGAGATGAAGGAGGAAGAAGAGAAGGAAGAGGAGTTGTAGGATGAGGAGACGGAAAAGGAGGAAGAAAAGGAGAAGGAGGAGAAAGAGAAGGAGAAAGAAAAGGAGGAGGAGAAGGAGGAGAAGGCGATAGAGGAGGAGAAGGGGGAAGAAGAGGAGAAGAAAGAGAAGAAGGCGGAGAAGGTGGAGAAGAAAGAGAAGAAGGAAGAAAATGAGAAGGAGTAGGAGCAGGAGGAGGAAGAGAAAAGGAGGAAGAAGAAGATAAGGATGAGGGAAAAGGAGAAAGAAAAGGAGAGGGACGAAGAAGGGGAAAAGGAAGAGGAGGAGGAGTATACTCATTTCAAGTAAATGGTAATTGTATGTAACTGCCTAATCTCAAAAGAGCTTAGGTGACCCAGTTTCCACACCACGGTAAGCTGTTAGGCTAGGCCGTAGGGTCTCAGCGCGTTCTTTTTGTTAACCCAGAGCTTCACCAAGAATCCTAACCTCTGGGGTAGGCTGCCCCAACCATCGCAGCCTACGGTGATGGCCACTCCATAACAGATTTGCCACCTCCCAATTTTTTTTGGTCCTTTGACAAATGTAAAGGGTTATTTACTTGGTGAAGCCTTTCAATTAACCCCTTTAGCCACTGACAAAGGATATTTTACTTTTATATGTTTTTTGGCTCTGTCAACCCGTTCATTTTAAAAGTCATCAGGCCATTTACTAAGCGAACTGTTCATTTTAGCCTACGACATTTTATTTACTAAGAATGACAGAGATTTTCTAATTTGTTTTTTGTCAGATTATAGTCCGAAGTGAGAGGGAAATTAGGTGACATGGAGGATAACGCAATATTTTACGATTTTTAGGTCAACCTCCGTACCAGCCCCTGGACTTATGGATTTAAGCCTGCCTGTTGGGCGAGTACACACACACATACACATAGGGAGGATAACGCAATGTTTTACGATTTTTAGGCCAACCTCCGTACCAGCCCCTGGACTTATGGGTTTTAAGCCTGCCTGTTGGGCGAGTACACTCACACACACACACACACACACACACACACACACAAGGAAACACCTTGAACTATAATCTGGTTTTTAACTTGAATTGTATATTTTTAATATTCATATTCTGATATAAAATTACATTGTCACAATTTACTTTACTTTGATATATATTCCAACATTTTAATTGGTAGCTATTTTCTGGAGAAAATTTTAGAGCATTATCTCATGTTCATAGAATCTCAAGGATTAAACTCATTTTTAGGTTAAATGATTTAGGGTTTTATTTATCAACGATACCTGCTTGGTATAGAAACGGTTGTCACTTCAATTTTTAAAACACCTGTCATTGATTCTATTTTAGAAAATATACTGTCAAAGTAATTAGAGAATGATGCTGGTGTAAGTGTTGCAATAGGAATAAATGGTATATTACCAGATGTGTCTTCATATGTTAATAACACCCCAATAAAACATGATGAGGGTGTGTCTTCTGTAATTATTCCTATAATATGGTTTGAAAATGCCCTTGGCCATTCCAACACATCTATCGAATCAGTGAGAAAAAACTGAAACTCTGAGGTCTTAATACCAAACCTCTTACTTTCAATTATGTCTTTTTTAGACAGAAACCTCAGAAATACAGCCATTACAAGTGAGGAGATCACCAATGATACGTCTGTTCTCGCTGACTGTTGCAGGTAAAGTGATTAAAAACATACTACGACACCCACCTATATAAGGGTCAATGCTTCTGTTTTTTGTATCCATAGGGGAGAGTGTCATGCTCTCCTTCGTACTTTCTCTTTGGACCAGTTACCTTAAACTGTTTAACTTCATCTGTTGTTACAATATCTATATATTTTGTTCGTCTAATCCTGTGCTCATCAATTTCAACGATTTTAGAAGCTTCACTTAAAACCATCTCTTTTAGTTTCTCAAAATTCAAAATTTTCGATGTTTTAATATTGAGAGTAAGCCCTTTGATTTTACAAACCGGGATAAATTTCTGTTGATTTGTCGACCAGACAAGGTATGCATACGTTTTTGGACCCCCAGACACAAATTCAGTAATATAAGAGCCGGGTCCATACTCTACTAATTCGTCTGTCATTTCACCAAGGTAATCTCCTGTAGGCACCCTATACAACCCTTCGTGGTAGTAATATATAATACTATCTGTATCCCAATATAGTACTTGATCTCCTAGAGCATCAAGGTGTTCATACAACTTAAGTCTAGCGTGGGCAGTAGTGAAGGCCGCCATGACTACACTTACAGTTCTTAAAGATTCACTAGCTTCTTCAATATTTTGCCAATTTACTAGCACAACATCTTGGTTAATTGCCTGGAAGTATTTTAACTTCCCCTCAGGATTGGTTAATAGCCGAAAGAACTCTTTGGCATCTCGGATGATTGAAGTTTTCATCATATTTTCCCTCTGCCCAAACTTGCCCCAGAAACTGTTAAGCATCAATTTTGCTACTGATCTTAAACCACCGTTCTTAACAATATGCTCCTTTGTCATCTCAATCCCTTCACGTTCAAGAAATTTTGCAATGTACTTGTTTTTGTCTTCCTCTGTCTTACACCATCCGGGGTATCCAGAAGCCTCTTGCTTTAGTTTTAAGAATTTATCAATAAACTCAGTGAACAATCCCCCATTTTCATATGTGGCTACCTCATACTCCCACAACTCAAGCATATCCAGTATAATGTAACCTTTTTCTACAGCCTTCCTAATTTCATCCATCGTCCACGTCCCAATCAACGCTCTATCTTCACTTTCATGAAAACAATCCCCCTGGTACATCATTTCCCCACATGTTCTGCAGAGAACAAACATCAATTTATCATGAATACGTGTTGGCAAAACCGGATGATACAAGTTGAAAGGAGGCAAGATCTTGCATTTTAACAGTCCATCTACATCCATGCCTCTCTGTCTACATTCCTTATTACCAACATATATAGTTGGATGACCTATAGGATATTTACAGTACTTATTTACAAAAGGATATAGCGAACATACATCAACGTATTGTATGGTTTCTCCTGGACCACATTTGTAGTAGGTTTTTGCGTTTCCTGTTCTACCTCCAAAGAATGCATCTCTAGGATTTAATGGAAGTGTATTTAAAATTGGTAATTTGTTCAGATGGTTAAGTTTTTGGTCATGTTTTAATTTTTTGAATTCACATTCCCAAATCTGCACTACATCTCCGAGCTTTTCGATTTTAGCTTTAGTGCGCTCATATCGCAAATGGAGAGAATCAGAGGGGTCTTCTTTTAACGGGGTATCACGATTATAGGAGAAACATTTAGGGCACCCGTGCCAGTAACATCCGTGGAACTCGTATATGTTTCTACCATCAAAACCATCTACTTTCATCCCCTTTATAACAACCTCTTTACTACGTCCAGCATGATTGATTGTCACCCCACGTCTTTCCTCCTCCCAGGTAAGCCACTGAAGTGCAACAGCTGACTGAGTAGAAGACCGGTAACCGTTTTTTGGGATAAGTCCAATTGTGTTAGGTTTTAAGAAATTGCGGCGAAAGGCCAGATTGCAGGCACTCGCGATGGTCACAGTCTCGAGAAACGGGTCAACATTGCATTGTTCAAGTAGTAACGATCTAAATTTGATACATGCCTGAGCTAAGATATCTACATCTGACATACAATATTCTAATAATTCCTTTTGAAAATTAAACTCATACTTTTTTGCAACCTGTTCATCGTACCACTGCTCAAAATCTCTGTTAGTTTTCTCGAACATACTCTCAGGACAGTAAAAATGTTTTTCTGGCATAGGGCCTATGTAATTTTGATTAGCCACTGTATTGAACAAGTGTGGGAAGTAACCTTTCTTCTTTTCAGGTGGTAAGTCAAAAGCTTTTGGTAAGGCAGATAAGGACATAGGGAAGTAGCTAAGAGAGTCAATAAATCTAACGTTAGCAACCTCCATCAAAATAATTTTAGTACCTCTAGGGATGATGTTAGGTGTGAATTTAGTTTCTTCGAGTATATACCTAAGTATAAAGTGAAAGTCAAAACCCTGCCCGTTGTGTGCAATTACACAGACGTTTTTGAAATGTTTACGGGTTTCCATTACATAGTTCATAAACTGCTTAACAGGATTGCTATCAAATATTTTATAACGTTCTGAACAAGAATCACATTCCTGCCTATTTATGCATTTGAAACAGAATTGTTGAGAAACACATAAATTCACTTTATGTAACTTAGTCTCGGGATCTGTGGGTAGGGACTCATCTTGGCGTGTTTCCAGATCAAAGAAAATAAATAGGTAGTCGCGGTCTTTTGGGGCTTTCTTGTCTATCTGAATGTAGCATTTATGATTAGGATCTTTAAATGTACCACAAGGGTGACAATATACTTCTCCACACACATGAGCCAATTTACGTTTAGTCGGGAATGTCATTTTTTCACACCCTCGGCAGAACTTAATTGTTTTACAAATTTGTCTCTGATGGGCAATAAAGCACCGTTCATTTTTGAAAAAGCGGTTACAATAGCGGCAAGATATGCCGCCATCTTCCTCTACACAAGGAGGCGAGAAAGTGTGACAAGATGGACAGATATTTGAACATCTGTGTTGACCTTTGTGATCATAGGGTATGTGACAGGCGTCACAGAAATAATTGCAAACAAAAGCAGCTGTTAAGTTTGTAATAACATTATAATGGTTATCATGGTACAATAAGTTGATTTTAAATTTTGCATCACTATTCCCACCAGAGAAATATACATCCCGACCCTTGCTATCGTAATTATACACGGTTATTCTATATTTCTTTAAATGTGCCTGGAACTTCTCGAGTTCAGGAATACCTGCTCCCTCTTCAGGCATGTCAATACATGCTTTAGCTATAAGTTTCTTTGCCCTAATTGTCTGTCGCAAACACTTGTCTTTACGAATTCCATAGATCTGAGGATCCATTTTTGCATATGCTTTACCTACAACTATGGCTCTAGCTAGACATAAGTTGTCAGTGTTATTTATAACAATAATCCCTTTCCTTGCTTTACATTCTTCGTTGAATGAATTATACATTCCTGGACGCACTCTGCCCTTGCCTACAGGAACATTAACTCTAGAAACACCGACCGTAAACGTATCACTACTAGTAATTGACTCAGAGTTACTTTGAATTATGCCTCCAAAAATATCCCATAGTGAATCAACTGTAACCTCAGAGGCTAATT